AATGTTTATTTCATGAAGTTAAATGCACTGATATTTGAAACATATTATAGTTCTATCTGTTCCTGTTAAATTATTCCCTTTATTTTACTTAATGATTAAAATCTATTATTTATTTATTTATTTATTTATTTGGTACTGGGTCTCAACGCGCAGCTCTGACTCATAGTGGTCCTCTTGTGTCCGCCTCCCCAGCACTGGGATTACAAACATTCACACCATGCCCGGTCTTGGTGGCCAGTATGACATGCCCAGCGTTCCAAAACTGGCGCAACATTCAGTGCCAGGGATCGAACCCAGCTCCTTGTGTTTGCCAGGCAGGCTCTTAGACTGCTGAGCTAACTCCCTTGTCCTCCATTTATTAATATACAGTGACTATCTTGGCTTCTTCTGATAAGTTTTAGTGTAAAGTTTACTTTATGTGGATAAAATTGCTCCTTCTTTTCGTGTTAGAGGTCCAGTTACACGGACTATTGTGTATCACCGCTCAGTGGATAAATGGTTAGAAGAAAACACGATATACCCACACAATGGAGGGTTACTTAGTCAGAAAGATGAATACATTTTTTTGAAAACTGATGGAAATAAAGATTAGTTTGTCAGGTGAAAATTGGACTTAGACAATTACTGCACGTTTTCTACAACTTGTGGAACTTACTCAAAAACTAAAACACAAATGTCACAAATATGGGAGAGAAGATGAGATTAGATAAGAGGAAGGGAACTAGAGGGAGGAATGATGGGGTTCTAAGGGAAGGTAACGGGGTGAAAGAGTATGATTACACATGTGATTAAACTCATGTATTAGAATTTTTCAAAATACAAAAAGTGACATTAAAATTGAGCTGTGTAAAAGTATGCTGTGATTTTGCTTTCATTTATTTGGTTATATGTGAGTGAATATATTGAAATATTGTTACCTGGCGTCTGTGTATCTTTAGCAAAATGTCTATTAAAATCTTTTGCTCCTTGTAAATACTGTGTCTTTGCATCAATGTTAGCCTTCCTTACCGTTCTCTGGCTTCCCAGCCTCCACCCGGGCAGGATCCTGCTGCTCCCTAGTGACCAGTCTGCTCAGTGTAGTCACTTCCAGTTCCACCTCTGGACCACTAGATCCATATCTTGTCACCAAGCAGAGCTCCACAAGGGATCTGAAGGCCTCATGGGGGCTCAGGAGACACGGTCACCTCATCCCAGCCCTTCTCACAGTATATCTCCTCCCCAGGTTGTTTTGGTGTCTCCTGGCATTGTCTCTACTGGATGATGTGGGAAATAAAAGAAGGTTGTCTTGTGAAACTGTAGGCAATTTATTTGGTTTCTGCCTAGTGATACTTTAGGACCACAGATGAGGGATGAAGATATTTGCATGGAGAAGAGGGACATGAGCATGGGACTGGAGGTCCCTAATGAGCAAGAGGCATAGGAGGGAGGTTTTGGTCTCACTTCCCCCTTGTCTATGGCACTGTGGCTTACCCACCCTGGCCATCAGTGCTATGGCTCACTCTGCAGTAATACTGAGCCTCATCCTCTGAGCGGAGGTCGCTGATGGTTAAGTAGCGGTCAGCACCAGCGCTGGAGCCTGAGAACCGATCAGAGATCCCGTCCCCCTTGCTGGAGCTGCC